TAATTAGTTTTGTTGTCTTTGTGATATAGATACGAGAATACTTTATCCAAAGCTTGGATTTTAGATCAATTATACGTATTTCCCGGAAACCCCGAAGAAATAGAAGCGATTCTTACCAATCCTAATATGTTCAATAAAGCTAAACTTTATAATGTTGCTAGCGAATCAATTTTGGGCGACGGATTATTTACAAACAGGGTGTTTGACGAATGGAAAAATAACAGGTGAGCTTTTTTAGTGTGGTCTCCTGTGATTAATAATGTAAACTATAAACTGTTATCCTTAAACTAGGGATTAAATATAATCCTTAATCCAAAAATTTAGGATTTTGGAAATTAATTTGATCCAATTTTAATATTAATCGTGAATTACGTGTAACCTGTAATTCCTTTGCAATCGATTACGGAATGTAATTAGTTTTTAATTTCTATCGCCAATTATTACAATGTCACTTTTTCGAAGTTATTGATTATCAAATATCAGTTTCAATTTGTTTCGATAATTATAGAAAATTGGTATCCGCGGGGTTTAAATTTTCGATGCTAAAATCGTTCATACCGATATTTTACGAGGAAGCTAAATTCCTGAGCCAAGTATTGTACGAGAAACGGGATAGCAATACAAATGAATGCGAAATAAGCTGTGCAATCGGGATGGCGACAATGGAGATGATCGGAAGAACCGCTTTGGGTGTAAAATTTAATACACAGAAAAACGCCAAACACGAATTTTTGGAGAACTTACATTTCATCCAAAAGGTTTGTTCGCATTTTTAATAAACAAAAATTATTTTATTTTGGTAGTTTATGGAGACCCTAGAATGGGGTCCATTAATCCGGCCCTGCAGTGTAAAAGAGTTTTCAATATCACTAGATAAACTTTATATACTTAAAAGTACTTGACTGATGTTTTTTTTGAGCTGGCATGTCATCTGTTTGTAATAAAAATTTGTTTTTGTAGGCTGTAGAATACCGAGTAACACACCCATGGTTTCTGAACAGGAGTCTGTTTCAGTTGTCGACGTATAAACGTAAACATGACATTAGCCAAAATAAAATTTACAATTTCATCGATGATTTAGTCCAGAGAAAAAAAAAAGAATTGAGAAATAGGATAAACAGTCAAGGAGAACATAACGAAGAGTGTATGGGCCTTAAATGTAAATCTTTTATTGAAATAATGCTCGAGAATGAACATCAGATGTCATTTAATCAATTACGGGATGAAATAATAACTACTATAATTGGTACATTTTTTTTTTTTAAAAAACGTTATATTAGGAAAGAATTGTTGGCGTTTTTGTTTTATTTGTTGAATTACTCAAATATATATATATATATATATATTATTTATTTTTTTTAACATTTATTAGCGGTATATAAAAACAAGTATACTTTATTTTGATAAATAATATCAACTATATATTTGTGTTGTTATTTGTGAATATCAAAACAGGTTGTAAAATTGATAACATTCAATTCTCTAACAAATACACAACGCGTTACCTATAACATATCAAATCGTTAAAGCGCCTTTCTTTTGATTAAAAAGATCCAAATAATAACAAGCGTATAAAGAGAGCTGTATTTTCTTTAATTCTATCTTTTAATATTTGATTTTAGGGGGTCAAGATACTACAGCTTTGACGATAGCGTGTTCAATATTTATGTTGGCTCATCATCAGGATATACAAAATAAAGTATACTATATTACGTATTCAGTATTATGAACTTTTAAGTTAAATACCCATTATAGGTATTCTTGGTGACGAAAAAATGATAAATATTAATTATCGTTCATTAATAGGTATTGGATGAGTTATTGACAATATTTTCTACTGGCGATCCGGATCGACCACCTACCTACGAGGATTTACAAAAGATGGATAACTTGGAACGTGTGATCAAAGAAACTCTAAGACATTTTCCTCCTTTTCCCTTGTTTGGCAGAAACGTTGAAAAAGAAACTGCTATCGGAGGCTACTTAATCCCTGCAGGTACGGCCGTAGACAAATTTGTTTGATAAATAGCTACATTCGGTGTTTGAAACTACTAATTTAGGTAATTATAAAAAAATATCCACAGGTTCATCGGTCATATTTTGCTCTGGTCGCATACACTTTAATGCAAACCTTTATCCGGAACCAGAAAAGTTCAATCCGGACCACTTCTTGCCCGAAGCATGTCGCAGTCGCCATCCGTATTCGTTCCTTCCCTTTAGCGGTGGTTACAGAAATTGCATTGGTATGAAATATGCAATGCTCCAAATGAAATCTGTCGTCTCAACATTGGTCAGATCTTATCGTTTCAGTCCGTCGGACAAGTGTCCAAAACCAGAAAATCTTCGTTTAACGTATGCTGGGACACAAGCGTTTGTCGACGGGTGTTACGTTAAAATAGAAGAGAGAATGTGATCAATTATTGAATTAGGATTTTAAACCAGAATTATTTACATATTTGGTTAAGGTTGTTCGCGTAATTATGTTAATTTAGTTAACCGAGGTAATACTTATATCTAATAACACATATCGTTCCCGTTCACGCAAAACACATGAAGTCCAAAAATGGGTGTTTTAAGAATGAGCTTTTTAAAATTGTACAAACTTTGAGATATTACATAACGGACTTAAATATAATTTAAAATCACTCTTTAAAACGATTTTTAACATAGTTGGATTTGAGGAGGTATAGCATATGGTATACAGTTGCATTGTACATATTATTTCATAAATATCTCAAAAAACCCATACTTGGACTTGAAGTGTTTTGCGCTATTTGTCATTAGGCTTAGTTATTATTTTGGCTTACCAATTGGTTGGTGTTGTCAATTCTTTCCAAATATATCTTCTATAAACTATTTAAGCTGTCTATACAGGGTGTTCCACAATGATTCGACAAATGAGATAACTTTTGTTTTAGTGAATATTTTTAAGGTTTTTTTTTTGTTTAATTAAATTATACTCATTCGCGCTATAAGTACCACGTTTCTTGTTGCACTTACTTGTTTTAATTTTATATATATATATTTTTTTTCAAAATAGCCTATTTATTTAGAAGAGTTTTTAAAAAAGAATTGGTGAAAAAATTTGTATTTTTATTCTTACATTAAAAAGTTATACTCACTTGAAATTGATGAAAATTTGAAAATTTCTCTCCGCGTTATTGTGTCGGCCATTTAAACATGTTATTAAATTACAATTATTCATCTTTATATTTTACCAATGTTTTTTTTACTGATTACACGTATACCTACAATCATGGTTATAGATAAACAGGTTATGTATTTTTTTGTCCTAAAACGACGGTGTAGTCATAATACTGCTGTTACGCATATTTTCTTTATTATATTGGTTAAGAAAATACATAAACGTCCAGAATCGAACAGTTTCCAGATTTCGGAGGCTTTAACACTGAATACAAGTATACAGTATATATGGAAAAACGTTGCCCCAGTTGGACGTATCATTCCAAAACATTTCTGAAAACTAGTATAAAATAGGTATAAAAGATACATGCACTTTCAGTGGCCTACTTTGAACAACACTTTGGAGGGTGTCTACATTTTTTGGATTTTTGTAAACTCTTTTTCACTCTCAATCTAAGCCCTTGTTCTTCAATGCCGACCACTTAAAACTTACTTGTAAATATTTATAATATAATTTTTCATCAAACATTCGTTCGAAGATAAGGGGAATGAAGCTGGCAATTGAGAGACCACCTAAGAAGTATGGAAGTATGATATTTGTTAGTTATAATCTAAAGATCCTCTCAACAAGTCATACAGAAATCAACAACATAGAAATTCTCACAGTAGAAGTTACAAATTGTACGGTCACATCAATATATAAACCGCCTAATATCCCATTTCAACTTACAAAGCCAATAAATTGGTAGTCAAATGGAAGTTTAGTGGTATAATTAAAAGCTATATAACTAAAACATTTTTGAGCTTTCCAAGTACGGCATAAATTAATGTTGCACTGATTTTTCCTCGCAGATATTGACATTAATTAACTGAAATTTGTATATATAAGGTAATACGTTTTTCAAGAATAAGTATTTGATATCAAGAAACTTATTCATAAGTCGCATACACTAGTATTTGTGTAAGAAAAATAGTTCTATTGATAAATTGTGTAGGGTTAAATAGTATTTATACCATTAGAACTAGATTAACATGTCTCTTAGCTATTAGTATTCCTAAGGTATAGCAATAGATTGTGAGATATTTTAACGTTTTTTTAAATTTTACATTTATTATAACTATTATCCCAAAAATATACATAATTTAATAATGTATAATTGAATAAATCTATATGGACATTGCTGAAAATTATGTAACTGTAAATTTTACATACCAAAACATTTTTGAGCTTTTGTGGCATTTACATATAGGTTTTATGAAAACAATAAAAGATCAGGTAATGTTCAATTTTAACAGTATTTAAATATACATTAATAAATAAGTCATTTTCTGCTTCGAAACAGTTGGTTGTATTGATATTTAGGTAAACCAACAACCTCAAATCTCGTTTCTTTTATTATATTATATTTTATGCTGTACTGACATCTTTAAAAAATATCCATAGAAAGACATACTTTTTATTGATTTATCCACTTTCAAAGTTATTTTACCTCTAAGGTTTAAATAGTATTAACCTTAACTTCATTTTACTTAACTAGTACTAAACTAATTTCATACTATAACTTTGAAGGCAAAGTTATTTTTTATGCTTTTATGGTAAAAAAATATATATCTTTAAAATCAAAATAGATGAAAATATAAAATTGTTTGTCCACAATAGAACTATACTTATAAATACGCCAAATTGGCACTTGAACGTCAACAAAATGTTGAAAAAATTATATTTTGAGTATACACTTTTTTTCTTGAAAGTTAACGAAAATAAATAATACAACATATTTAAAAATGAGCTTGGACAGTTTTAAAGAGCAGACAGAGGTACACCGATATGTTTGTTTTATTCCACGAAAACTACACAATCACAACAAATTTTAACGTTAGGGTTATGCATAGCAGAATTATCATTTCAACAAAAGAACCACGGTTTTTCCATCTACTAATGTACTTATACAAATATAGATAAAGTCATCTACACGTAACATCACATGCCTTACAATTTATAATAATAATTATTATTAGTCATACAAAAGTACCATGATATTTTGAATATTTCAGAGAGTATTACTTTCTATTCACTTATACTACTCTACTTATACTAAATAAAGATGTTTATATAAAGAATTTATTAATTGAACGGATAAATTATGACTAAAAACGAAGGAAACATTTATATAGACAGCTTAAACAGTTTGTAGAAAATATATTGAGACGCGATAACACCAACAATTTGTCATTAGTTATTAAATATAGATATTATTTTTGTTAACCAACACCGATGTATCTAAAATCCAAAAAATATGATAACACAATTATCCAGATGAAACCCTTATTTGAATAAGAAGTAATCATATTGGTTCAAAACCATGCTACATTAATTGATTATGTTCTCGCTTCTATTTTAACGTAACACCCGTCGACAAACTTCTGTGTCATCGTATACTTTAAACGAAGATTTTCAGGATTGGGACACTTATCCGACGGGTAAAAACGATAAGACCGGACTAGTGTTGAGATGACAGTTTTCATTTGAAGCATTGCATATTTGCTACCAACGCAATTCCTGTAACCGCCACTAAAGGCAATGAACGAATACGGATGGCGACTGCGACATGCTTCGGGCAAGAAGTTGTCTGGATTAAACTTTTCTGGTTCCGGGTAAAAATTTGCATTTAAGTGTAAAAGCTGAGTGTAAATTATGAACGTTGACCCTGTAGATATTTTTAAAAATAAATTGTATTAGTAAATTTAAGCACCAAATGTGGCAACCTATCAAACAAATTTGTCTACGGCCGTACCTTCCGGGATTAAATAGCCTCCAATCATTGTTTCCTTTTCGACTTTTCTGCCAAACAAGGGAGTAACGGTATAGAGTCTCAGAGTTTCTTTGATTACACGTTCCAAGTAATCCATCTTTTGTAAATCCTCATAGGTAGGTTGTCGATCTGGGTCGCCAGAAGAAAATATTGCCAATAATTCTTCCCACACCTATTTATAAGCAGAAATAAAAAATATATAATTACCATGAATATATAAAATGTTTTATTTTGCATAATTAATAAAACTAAATACGAATTATAATTTACTTTATTTTGTACATCTTGATGAGTAGCCAACATAAATATTGTACATGCATTCGTTGTAGCTGTCGTGTCATGACCCGCTAAAACCAAATTTAAAAAAATTGTCATAATGCTTTAATATGTACACATTGTTTATTTGTTAGGGAATTGAACGTGGTCAATTGTGTTTTATTTGAGTTGAATTTACGGCATTGGATCAAATTAATAATCGGGTTTTCTATGCACGATTAACAACATAAATAAATAATTGAGTTCAATCCCCGCCCTAGATTTTTCACTTTTTTCAAACGTTTAAACACTGTTATAAGTAATAAAAGTACGAACTAAATCTTAAAAAGACCAACTATAATACACACGTCACCAATTTTCTTCAAATACAATTTTTCAATAAAAACGTACCACCTATAATAGTTATTATTTCATCTCGTATTTGGTTAAATGTCATCTGATGTTCATTCTCGAGCAGTATTTCAATAAAAGATTTAGATTTAAAGCCCATACACTCTTCGTTATGTTCTCCTTGACTGTTTTTATTATTTTTCAATTCAGTATTTATTCTCTGAACTAAATCATCGATGTATTTGTAAATTTTTCTTTGACTTATGTCTTGTTTACGTTTAAACGCCGACAACTGAAATAGACTCTTGTTCATAAACCAAGGGTATGTGATTCGGTGTTCCCAAGCCTAAAAAACAAATTTTTATTACAAAAGGTTGACATGCCAGCTCAAAAACATCTTCTGCATAGAATATTTTAGTTACAAAGTATGTTAGGAATAATGATAATTTGTTTACACTGCAGGACCAAATTAATGGGAACCAAGGAGGGGTATGGCCCCGGCTCTCCGTTTCTTTATCCCAATGGACTACCAAAAGAAAAACTATTTTCGAATGGAAACCGGAGACCAAACGGGACAAAGAGAGCCGGAAATACAGCAAGAAACTATTGATAACGGTAATGAAAATCAGTCATGTGGTAGCCGGCCGTAGAAAACAGCTGGCAGCGGCAAGAGGAAGCGGAGAATGCGGTGGGGGTATGGTATATAAGCTACACCCACGGAAGTGAATCAGTCAGCCAGCAGGAAAGCGCGGTACGAGCAACATCAAACCACAGCCCTGAAGATGTAACGTGCAAGTGTTCCGAAACGTTGGCAAACTAGTCAAGACATCCAAGTGGGAGTAACCTCAAGTCATGTAAATAGTGTAAATATTTTCGAATGATTCTGAAAGTAAAATTCCTGAACATAACACTAATATAAGATAATACTAAGTACCATAAAGTTGTATGAAGATTTTACACAATGTTGTCTTTAAGCTATGAAAAATATATTTGAGTCTACCAAAAAAGCTGTTGTTCAGAAAAAAGACACTTCAAAATTACCTCACACTAAAAACAAACGTACGTAATTTGGAAAACTTCAAATACTTGATCATATTATTTTTTAGAAATAAAAAGAAATTTTTATTGTATTTAAAATTTAATTTTATAATAACTCACTCCAAGCATTTGCAAGTAATAAAGCAGAAAAAAAAAGTAAAAGGATAAATTAAACATATGTAATTTTTTTTAATAAAATATATTTTACATATTATTGATAAAATGTATGAATTATGTACGTGAAAAAACAATACCATACATTTAAGTTGGTTATGTTTGAGAACGTACTTAAAACTTTTGTTGAATCAAAAAATTCATAGCAAAAAAAGTTAATAAGCTATTTAGTTTCTACAAAAACCAATATGAAGTGGCAACACTGTAGAATTCGATTCCGACAATAAAATATTGATAAATGAGACCCGTTTCTGGGTATCACCTCTTAAAAACATATATATGATGAGACCTAATTTTGGGTCTCACTGCGTATTTTTTTGTATTTTGGTGAGACTCAATTTTGGGTATCATGGCAAATTTTAATCACTATGTAGAAAAACCATTGGCACTCAACGTGTTAATGTTGGTTCTTACTGATAAGTTCTCTAGGGGCACGGAGACATTTTCTGGCTCTGGATCTTAAATTTTAGTGTTTCATACCTGGTTTAAAAATAATATGGTTAAGAAACACTGAAAGTAGTAAGCATACCTTTAGGACGACTTGTAAATTCTCAAAAAACTCATGATTTCCGTTTTTTTGTGCATTTAATTTTACACCGAAAGCGGTTCTTCCGATCATCTCCAAAGTCGCCATACCGATTGCAGAGCTTATTTCACATTCATTTGAATTGATTTCTCTTTTTTCGTACAATATTTTGCCCAAGAATTTTGCTTCCTCGTAAAATATTGGTACGAACGATTTAAGCATTGAAAATTTAAACCCCGCAGCTACCATTTTTCTATACATTTTATCATACCAAATTAAAATTATATTTGACATTAGGTAACTTTTAAAGAAAACATTATAATTATTGGTAAAAAAACTGTATTCCTAGAATTTAATAGTCAAGTATTAACAGTGTACATTATTTTTTAGAATGTGGTATACATATTGACGCTATATTGTTTCTTTTTTACGAATTTTGAAGAATTGTTTTTCTATAATAATATATAAATATAAGATAATACAAAAAAAGTTCACCTGTTCTTTTTCCATTCATGGAACATATTGTTAGTTAAAATTCCATTGCCCGGAAGTGATTCGTTTAACACCTTATATTCTTTAGATTTGCTGAACAGGTTAGGATTGGTAAGAACTGCTTCTAAGACTTCAGGTGTTTTAGAAAATATGTACAATTGATTAAAAACCCATGCTTTGAATAAAGTGTGATCATAACTGTATTACAAAGACAAAGAACAAATTATTGCTATCTAAAAATCACCATTTAATTAAAGTATTCTCGTATCTATATCACAAACATACTATGTAGTTATTGTTGCTCTCAAATTAATAGAAAAAGTTTTTTAGCCGAGTCTGCAACCACGAATGAGCTTTTTCATGTTTCGTTGAAGTACCGAATAAATTTAGAGTAGTGGTGGAATTATAGATAATGATATAGTATATTAATAAGCAGTAACAAGCTAGTATATTAAAACATCAATTTCTGCCTAATTATGTAGTGTTAAATATCTGGCTTAAATGGGGTTGGGGTGGTAATGGGGTTGGGAGTGGTAATGGGGATGGTTTGCCTTGGCACATAATCGAAAAAAGCGTAACGCTATTATCTGAAAAGAGGTTAGAGATAATAGATATGTTGTAATCACAAAGATCAAATTATAAGTGAATACAAATTCAATAAATAAACAGGTCATCATATTTCCTATGAATTGTTTAAAACCAGTTAATATGATAACACTAAAATATTAGCCAGAAACTTGATACGTTTACTAGCCACCTTAGATACTAGCTAGTTCATATACTATTTCATTATCTATAATTCCACCACTAATCTAAATTTATTTGGTAATTCAACGAGACATGAAAATGCTCTTTCGTGGATGCAGACTGGGCTGAAAAACTTTTTTCGTTATTAATTTTTGGTAACACTTTTTTCGGTTATGTGCCAGAGCTAAGACATGAAATAGTTAATATAGTAATACAATGTAATAGAAATTCGTTAATATATATGTAATTACTTTCTGGCATTGTTTAAAATATTTATCAATAATTTTTCAGGTCCTCCAAGTAAAACGGGTAACATTCCTACTAAAAAGAATCCATCTGGACCGGGTATTCGATTTGCCAATGACGTCTTTCTCCGGTTTGCTATTTTATAGTATAGAACTACCAAAAACAATATTACCGCTATAAGTATAACGATAATGTTATTTAGGCTTGTACCATTTATAATGCGTGACTCCTGAAAATATTAAGTCCATAAATTATTGTTTTTGTTAAATATAATCTAGTTCTATAAAGATTATATACTCATAACATTGCAGAAAAAAATAGGTCATCTTTATGAAAGTATCAAATGTATACATTTGTGTATGAATAATCAATAATGACTCATTCCAAGAATAGACGAAGTTGAAGATGGATTTTGAAAGCCAGGCAAAGTGACTAATTCATCATCAACTACATTATTAATATTACTTATTGTTCATTAAAATATTTGGAAGTTATAACCTATTACGGCCATAATACATTTTGGCAAAAAAAAAAAGGCTTAGTATATATGACAAAGTTTTAAGATTTTATGTACATTAATTAGCCTAATCTTATTCTCTAGCCTCTCCAAATTATGACTATGAATTATACTACAAAAAAGTATTTTTTTGATTATTAAATAATTTTTACATATTATGTATACATTATAAATTTCCCATTTCCCAATCGACCACTTCAAATTTTTAATTCATTAATCCCAAGTAGAAAAGTTCATAAGATACGTACCTTTACCATTCTTTTGAAGAAATATAAAATTAACCGATTAACAGCCCATTTATTGTCAATTAAATTATTTATTAATTGATTTAATTGATTACAGTTATAATGAATTTCCGAAGACACGAGACCTCCTTGTATACAATATTATTTAGTATTAAAAAATTGGTAAGTATGTTTTTACCAAAAAAACAGGCCTAAAACACTTATTGGATTTTGATATAAATGTCTTATGGTTATCAAAATATGTTGTTTAAAAAAATGTGATATTTATGTTATTTACAAAAGTGAAAATGATTTTAATGATGATAAAAATTATTTTTAGTTATTACTAATGGTGAGGATAAGTTAGGTTAATAACAATTAATACTGCCTAGTAGAACTTTAACTAGTTTGTAATGCGAAAATATGTAATTAAATGTAGAAAGGGTGTGTGGAACCACCGGGGCCACCTGCGATTCAAAGGGGAACAAAATAATAATTAATTTATCTTACACTATCCAAAGTTAGCAATTTAAGAAACACCATGGAGCATACACAAAAATAAAAACATTAATGTGAAAACAATACCTTTGCAACTAAGTATTGAAGCTAAAATGTTTAACTATTAGGTTTTTAGTAAATTACCAAGAACATTAAAATTATTTTTACCTGCCAAAACGAAAACATTTCGTTTAATTGCATTTTCTATAGGACGAATACTTGAAATACTAATACTACAACCAACTTTTAGGAACTACACATGACACGGTAGTAAGGGGGGGTTGAAGAAAATAGATAAAACCGGATTAAAAGTTGTGGTTTTTTTATTAACTTTGAAAACAATATGGAAGTATATTAAGTGAATACGCGGGACGGCGGCGGATGGCAGTCGCGGATCAATGTTAAATTAATAACTGATTATCGGATTGCCTACAGTGGTCATCGCCGCCGTGTTTCGCTGTCAAGATGACACCCCCCGGACCTCTTCATACACCGACGGCCGGCTCGGGCCGATATAGTAGTTTATCGTTCCCACCTGCGGTGAGACGGTGGACAGTTGATAACACGACCGGGCGCACATTTAATCGCTAATAACGGAAACATGCACTTGCAGGCCGTGTCAACCCTCCCCCACTAAACGGTCCAACCGGTGAACTTAATCGGTGTCTGTTCCTCCCTGTCTTTCACATCTCCTCGAGTGACATCGCTGAAACCTTTTCAGGCAAGCGGGCCATCAGAGCACTCGCATCGCACCGGTGACCTGGTGGTCAAGGGCGGGCGTAGTAGAACTGAGAAGGAGGGGACAGGGAAAGGAAAGAAGTTAGGAGGTGGTGTCTGACGGTGGTTGGAGGAAGATGTCGATTTCCTCGATCGTATGGTCAACTTGACCATCGACGGTGACGTCCATCACTGCATCCTCTTCCTCCTCTGCCGTTGGTGTTACCGGGGCATGTGTCCTCGGTGTGGGGATTGGTTGCCTCTTCGCCGAGGTCTTCCCTGGGTCGGCCTGTGGCGTTGGTTTCTCCAACCGATGTTGCTGGGATATCCGACTCCTTTCTTCCCGCTTCACCTTCCTCATCGCCTTTCGGTACTCGTTGAGACGGATCATCCTCTTCCGTCTCGCCGATACCGTGTTGTTGTCTAGTTCCGTGCTCGTGACTGTGGTCGGAGCTCCGGCAGACTGGTTTGCCGTGGGCACAGCTCCAGTGTTCTGGACGGCGGAGTTGGATGGCGTTGCCAAAAAGTTGGAGGCGCCCCTAGGCGTCATGTGGCGTGGCGCAGTTTGTGGCCACGGGGACCTGCCAGCGTAGGGCGTGGGCTGACGCGCCGTAGGTCGCGTTGGCGGCTGATTGATTAGTGGAGGTGGTGCCGGGACGCTGATCATGCAGGCTTGCCACCCACGGGTGAAGGCCGCCCACAAAGCGGGGTGCTTCTGTAGCTCGCTTTGGGGAGCTGTGAGCACTTGCTCGGGCGTTAAAGTTGAGCTGGGTATGGTCGCCCCAAACGACTGCAGCAGCTGTTGCCCACGAAGGTGGTGCTGCACCATGATTTGCAGGAGGTTGCTGCTGTTGTTCGGTCTGGTTGATTGAGACATACTGAAAATTGTACAAAATATTAATTGACGCAGTCTCAATATCTTCTGCAATGAGTAAGCTAATGAGGCCTGTTAAGGTCCTCCTTACCCACCAGATGAGACGATTTCAGACACGAAACGTGAAGTTTCCGGGGTGGTCGCTGGTCAGTGAGGTAAACACCTGAGCTCAAGCGTTCCGCCAGTCGGACAGGTCCTAGCCATTTCGGCGCGAACCCCGCATGGAAACCTTTGTCAGCGTTCGATAAATGATGAGCCTTGTAATACACCCAGTCACCAGTCGAAAATTTTGATTTAATCGGGGTGACTGGTTTTTGATTTTTTTCGTGATTTTCAAAGGCAACTGTCTCTTGCCCTCGTCTATGTCGGTTGATCTCCACCACGGGAATGACGGGAGGTTCAGATAGGGCCCAATCGCCGGGCCGTCTGGCTTCTCTGCCGAGTACCAGAACCGACGGTGGGAAACCTGTAGCCTCGTTCAGTCTATTCCGAATAGCGAAGAGTATCGACGATAGCTTAGTGTCCCAAGAGCGATGACTTTCGTCCACGAGGTGTGCACGTAGTCCTTTCTTCAGCTCTTGGTTGCGACGTTCGACGGGGTTAGCTCGTGGATGGAACACCGGAGTAGTCCACCCCTCCGCCCCCCATCGGTCGAGTGCTCTGAGCATTTCTTTCGAAGTGAACTGAGTCCCGTTGTCACTAAGGCACACTCGAGGGTACCCGAAACGTGAAAAGAACTCGCGTTCGAGAGTTTGGATGATTACATTAGCGGTGGCCGTACCTAGCGGGTAGGCTTCGACCCATCGGCTAAAGCAATCGGTGACCACCAGTATGCATGTTTTACCCCTACCTGTTCTTGGATAGGGGCCCATAAGATCTATACTGATGACTTCCCAGGGTTGTCGGGGTTTCCTAGGTTTGAGGGGATTCTCTGGTTTTGCGTTCAGAGGTTTAGTACAGGCACATATGTGACATGCACCTACGTATTTCCTAATATCCTCTTTCAAACCTTTCCAGTAAAACCTAAGTCGTACGGCCCTGAAAGTCTCTTTCCAGCCTGGATGACTGGCTAGAGTGTGGTCATGATACCACCAGATGATTTGTTGGATTTTGTCAAGTGGTATTACGATTGGGGGCAACGAGGAGGAGCAATTTTCGATATGTTTCCGGAGAAGGCCATTATTTAAGATGAATGATTTTTTTAGTGCTTTTGACCTTCTGGTATTGTTGGCTGGACAGTCAGAGGATATGTTTTCTTTTATGGAGCTAACATATAGATCATCTGATTGCCAAGCTTTCAAAACCTCTTCGGAAATAGGTGTATCGATTTGTTCTACCTCTTGTTGTGTCAATGAAAAGAGTCTATCAGGGGTACCATGTGAATTGTTTTTTTGTGTTTTTAGTGAAGGTACTCCTAGTAGGTTTTCATCGAGTTGGTCTTCGTTGACTGGCGGACCATCGGATGGGTACCGGGATAACATGTCAGGTGCTTGATTAAGGCGCCCTGGCACGTGTATCGTTCGGAAATCCAAGTTACTTAGTTGTAACGCCCATCTGGTTAGTTTAGACTTTTGGTCTTTGGTCTTATGCAGCCAAGTCAACGCCGAGTTATCAGTAAGGAGTTCGAAAGGTGCTGTTTCTAAGTAGGGGCGGAACTTATCGACTGCCCAAATTATAGCTAAACACTCTCTTTCGACTGCAGTATAACGCTTTTGTGTCTCGCTCAACTTTTTGCTTGCGTAGGCAATGACCTGTCTTTCCTCCGGGCTGTCACCCCTTTGGAAGAGAACAGCTCCGACGCCTATTTCGCTAGCATCAGTTTGGAGGTGGAATGTTTTACTGTAGTCGGGAGAGCTTAGTTTTGGGGAGTCGTACAGGGCCTTTTTAATGCTTTCAAAAGCGTTCTGTTCGTTACCTGACCATTTCCACTTTTCACCTTTTTTTAGCAGTTGTGTTAGGGGTGCAATTGTATCAGCATAGTTATCTACAAACTGGCTATACCAATTACAAACGCCTAAGAACCTACGAAGCTCCTTAATTTTGCGGGGAGTTGGGAAGTCCCTAATAGCTGAGAGTTTTTCGGGTTGTTTTTGTATTCCCTCTGCATCCACTAAATGTCCAAGAAAAGAGATTTCGGTTGTCCCTAGTCTACATTTCTTGGGGTGGCATGTCAGTCCATGTCTGCTCAGACGTTCAAGGACTTTAGCTAAGTGGTTTAAATGGTTGCTAAGGTTATCTGAATATATTACTATATCGTCGAGATAAACTTGAACAAAATCATCTATGTACCCTCTTAACACTTCGTTCATGAGCCTAACAAAAGTCATGGGGGAATTCTTTAAACCGAAAGGAAGAACTCTGAACTGGTAGAGACCTTTGCGAGTACGGAAAGCTGAGTACTTCCTAGAATTGGGGTTCAACGATACTTGAAAGTATCCAGATTTAAGGTCTAGTATACTAAAGATCTTTGCGCCCCTCATATTCCTTATCATGTCATTTAAATTTGGCATGGGGTAGGCATCAGATTCCGTTAACTCGTTTAGTCGTCTATAGTCAATACAAAGGCGTGGCGAACCATCTTTTTTCTTTGCAAGGACTATAGGAGCGGCCCAGGGCGATGTGCTCGGTTCTACTAGGCCTTGCTCCTCCATATCCCTTATCATATCGTTTATGATGTTTTGTTTTTCAGCCGGATAAGGGTATGGGTTTAGAGCGATGGGGGTGTGGTCCCTAAGTCGAATTTCGTGATCTATCAGCTTTGTGCGGCCTATTGAACCATCGAAAACCTCAGAATATCTGGTGATGACTTCTGTTAGTTGGTTTTGAGTCATAGGATCGCCCGAAATTTGGATTTCAGAAAAATCTAACTTTTTGGGTCCCCTTGTTGTCTTAGTGGCTGCCCAACAAACGGATGTTCGTTTGGAGGTCCCTAAGTAGATTGTACCTGCGGAGTAATCCCAAGCGACTTCGTTTTCTACAAGGAAATCGTGCCCTAATAGGATATCGCAGTACAGGTTGTCTAGAATCGAAGCATTAAATTTAATTTGTACTTCTGCGACTCTAGCGACGAATGCGGCGTGGCCACTGGTTGTTTGAGTGTGCCCGTCTGCCATTCGAACTAATGAATTTAGTCCTATAAATGTTTTTCCGAATTTTCTCGAAATTTCCGGCCTAACATACGACTTTTGTGCTTGAGAATCAAGAAGAGCAGTGACGAAACCAGAATCGAATTCTAACTCTATACATGGAGTTGGTATTGTGTTAGGGTTTCTATTTAATACCGTTCGTACGGATGCAAGTCCAGAGCACTCGGGTTTTTCATAATGAAAAACAATTCGAGTGTCCTGTCTTGTTTCATTCGTACCTGTATTTTCGCTGTTCTCTATACTCTTATGATCAAAGTCATTGTGTATGTCGAAGCTAGTGTTGTTCTGTTCGGAGCCCGGTGCGTTTTTAGGTGGAACACATCGGTCTTCGATACAGATTGGGGTTGTAACGTCATTTAGGTTTTCTAGTAGATTGTTGGGCTCTAACCAATTTTCTCGAACTATGTTTGGGTGAGTTGAGTCGCTAGTTGTTCTTTGGTCAAGAATATCAGAGCTAGGGCTAACTTGGTGAGGTGATGATGTAATTGGTGGTGACAGTTCGAGTAAATGGTTATTGCTTTTTGTTCTAACTAGGTCTAATGGTGTACTTTGTGTCATGAATAAATTTCGAGAAGTGTCGAGGTCGTCTACTAGTCTATATTCATTTACTTTAATGCCAGTTGATTCATTTACTGAATTATCAGAGCTGAGTATAAGAGGTAAAGGGACTAGTGGGCGGTCGTCGGAATGTGTGTGGTGACCCGTGGACTGGACTAAGATCCGCGGGGTTTGGGGCCGTTTCCCGAGGGCTTTGTAGGACATTCACTGTTCCAGTGAGGTCCCTTGCAATGCTTACAGGGGAGAGGTGGCTTTCGGTTTGTGTTGTTTACCGAGTGGGCCCCAGAGTGTTTTGCTAAGTCAACTGGTTTTGACTTAGTAGGTGGGTAATAGGACTTCTTCAAGTCCCTCGGCGGTGCTGCGTCTTGGGTCTCTTGTATGGAGTACGAAGAGCTATCTAAGACTGCAGCTATTCGCCTAAGGTCTGTGAACGACGCGGGGTGTTGGAGCCTAGCATGTATTCTAAATTCGTCTCTCATGAGCCCTACAATAGTACTAACTATTTGCGGTTCGGAGAGACCTGTTTGAATTCGACGGGATAATTGGTTTTTCTCCATGACAAAATCGGTCAGTCGTTGGTGTGGACCTTGTCGAACTGACACAATTTCGGCACGGAGACGGGACTGGATGTCAGGGCAGTTGAACCTTTCGGCTAACTCGCCTTTAAATTCAGGCCAAGACATATCTAGAGCCTTAACCGTTCTCCACCATGCAGCTGCCGTTCCCGTTAATTGGGGTTCGACTGCTCTAACCCATGCGGCTGGATGTATTTTTGCTTCACGCAAAATACATTCGGAATTTGCCACAAATCGTGTCGGGTCCTCCTCTTTTGTACCAGAAAACTCAGAAAGTGACGCTCTTGCAGCTTTTAGGTCATTAAATGGGATAAGTAATGATTGGTTCCCTACCCTAGTGCTAGACGAATCGTTAAAATCGTTTTCGAACTGTACGGTACGGTTGGGTCGACTCGTAGGGCGACTATCATTTTCCGTATGTCGTACAGAGTAGCTATAGGGTTGTGAGTCATACAAACGATTATTGACTGTATTAGAATTTAGGTCCCAGCTTGTACTATTTAGAGGGGCCTGTGCTGTCCCTTTGCTCCCTAACTGGTGTAATGAGGTCGTATCGTATAAAGTCAGCTGGGGACTAACCGTTCGCCTGATCTCCTCTTCGGTTTGTAATAACCTATCATGGAGTGAGGCGGGCTGACTATCGATACGAGTTCTACTTACGTTCAAATTAGCGGTGGGAGTGGCCCTATCTTCTACCGTTACAGTAGGTACTACTGGCCTAAAACTACTACAGTTTGTTGACCTAACCGTTTGGACGTCCTGTTCAATACTTGAAATTTTATTTAAAATGTTTTTTTGATTAGTTAAGACCCGTGACAAAGCGGTTTCAAGAGCGGTTATCCTTAGTTCCAGATTCCCTATAGAAGTTTGCGTCCGAATGTTTTGCCTAATTGCTCCTATCTCTTCACTAGCTGAGCGTATGTAGTGAATTGTGTGAAGGTCAGGGAATTGGTCATTCGGCGCGCTAGCTCGGTATGTGTTTGTGGGAGTGAGTGGGCGGCGGGAGTCCTCATATTCGAGGTCGCCGTAGGTTAGGTCTAGTGGGTCCTGTTGGACATCACTATTCCTATTGTCTTCTACATTGTGTACCTGTTGCGCTTCTAACTCGCCTATCGGTCTCGGGTTGACAGAACTATTAATATTATTTAAAGCATTATCAACAATCGGGGGCCGAGGTGGTAGAAGGGTGGTGGACGGATCACAGCCTCCGTCCCTAATCACATTCTCTAGTACACACTGTAGGTCGTTACGGCTAGCGGTATACGGCAGGTTTCGGTAAGCGCATTCGCGTCTGATTTCGGTAACCGACATTTGATCTAATGTTTTCTCCATTTCCGATTTTTTTATATTTTTTTTTTTGACAAATGAAAATTAAAAAAAAAATGAATTAATTAAAATTAAAATTTTGATATATGTATGCGTTGTGTTGATGTTTTATTTGTTGTTAGTATAAACAACAGAAAGAGAGAAAAAAAAAATTTTTTTTTATATATATATAATTAATTGATTTAAATATTATTTTACTGTAAAGCAAACTAAAAGAAAAGAAAAAAAAAAAAATATAATATATTAAGAAAAAGAGGAGAAAAGAAAAAAAAACTGTAGGGGTGAGCGGGTATTGGCGATTCAAATATAATCCAGTATACAAATACCAATACAGTCACTACACGTCCGAAAAAAAAAGTTAAATTTGTTTCCTATCTTTGACTTTTTTTTTTTTTTAACTAATGACAAATAACCGGAACGTTTAAGAGAAAAACAAAAGAATTGTTATTACTTATTTTTTTTTGTTCGTCATACGCTGCTTGAAAGTAGTAACCAAATAAGGTGTTGTTTGTTTATATAAATTTAAAAAAAAAATTATATAAACCTTATTTCTTCCTTCAATATTTTAATTTTCTTTCAACCGGTTTCACTTAAAAAAAAAGTAGTAACTATTCGCAAATATGCTTAATCGTCAATTTGGTACGTTTTTAACCGAAGTAATTAGCGTAAGTCAAATATCCGTTCGGCCGTGCGGGTTACTATTTAATAAATGGCCGGAGAAGGAAAAAAAAAAAATAAATAAATATAAATTTATGTTATTTAGTGAAAATATTATGCGAAGAAAGTGAATTTATTTTCCAACAGTGATCGTTATTTGGTAACTTTCAACTTAATCGTATGGTGGACGGTACCGGGACGCGGGTGTGATATGCGTTACAATAACAATAACAAGGTGAACGTTACTAAAATCCTAACCTGTATATTGTACGCCGGTACTAGCACGTCACGTGTGTGGCCTAACTAGGTATATATTCGTTGTAAATACTACACTAGTAGGATGGAAAAAAAAACAAAAATTTACACGAATAAATATTTTGACAATTTAAGTAAATTAAATATTATTTAAATCGAGTGTAAAATTTTTTCTCAGTAAAACAGCGGCCAAAATAATCCTACCTGGTTTCGCTGAACACCGGGACTTTTTCCTCAGCGGGGAGCCAAATTTGACACGGTAGTAAGGGGGGGTTGAAGAAAATAGATAAAACCGGATTAAAAGTTGTGGTTTTTTTATTAACTTTGAAAACAATATGGAAGTATATTAAGTGAATACGCGGGACGGCGGCGGATGGCAGTCGCGGATCAATGTTAAATTAATAACTGATTATCGGATTGCCTACAGTGGTCATCGCCGCCGTGTTTCGCTGTCAAGATGACACCCCCCGGACCTCTTCATACACCGACGGCCGGCTCGGGCCGATATAGTAGTTTATCGTTCCCACCTGCGGTGAGACGGTGGACAGTTGATAACACGACCGGGCGCACATTTAATCGCTAATAACGGAAACATGCACTTGCAGGCCGTGTCACACAGAACGACTAACTAGGTTTTTCATTATTCTAAAATTTATAATCTCACGCGCACTCTTACTAGTATTTAGAACAATAAATAGTATTTTACAAAAGATCATCTTGTAACTAATAATTACGTTCATAAGCTAAGGGAAACTCATATTTTAATTAAAATATAATTTTTAATATATATACTTTAAGCTACTATTTAATATTTTTATAGCGTTGAATTAATAATATTTTACCTGCTAAAAAGAAACAATTTCATTTAATTAAATTTAAGTAGAAAGAACGATTTTTAAGTTTAGGGGTTATTTTTATTTCAGAAAAAAAGATTTCGTTTAAATTTTATCTATGTAATTTATTTATTAAACTAGTTATGGCCATTTTTAATGAAAAATTAAAGAAATGTTTCATGTTTTACGAATGTTAATTTAAACTCTTAAATTTTAGATAAAAAATAAAAGACAATTTGGCGAGATCTGAAGAGATAGATTAATTATAGTGTTATCATTTAACCAATATAAATGATTTTAAAAATGTATGTGGATTTTTTTTTACTTAAATCCCTAGCCATAATAACTGAAGTGTTGAGTTAATAATATTTTACCTGCTGAAACGAAACCATTTCATTGAATTGAATTTTCCATAAGATGGAAACTTGAAGTTCAAAAGTTGAATAATCAACTTTTAGCAATTATACACAATGACTATATCAGTTTCTAATTATTTTTAACATTTATACTCTCATGGCATACGCACTCCCGCGGGTATTAAGAACAAATAAATTATATTAAATTTCCAATAGGTATTATATTTACGTTCATATAATTTGTTGAATACTTAACAAGGTCATTACACGTTTTTCGAAAAAAAAAATACTTTTTAATTATTCAATATTTTGCATTCTATAAAATGAAGCCCGCATAATTAGGTCGTAATAATAAGGGCGTTACGGCATATATGAATACAAATCAATGTAAAGACAATAATGTGGTTAAAATTGCATTATTCGGCTTTGTGTAAACTACCCTACACTTTATTTATTATTTATTTTATTAATTTTGGTATAATAATAACCTAGGGAGAGCATACCTAATCTAAAAAATGTAATTAAAAACTATGTTATAATTAAAGACAGTCAAGAGCAGAAAAACCCGTGTTTTTTTAGGCCGCAAATGAGTTTAAATTAATATTCACTAGAAAAAAAAATTAGCTTGATAATTGCACCATTTCCTTTTATCTTTATTGTATAATATTTTCAAGGGAATTGATGAAATCACAGTAGATATAATGACAACAAGTGTAAAATTAATTTTTCAGGACGCTACACTTGGTTAAATAATATTTTATATGCATATTGTACATTATGCAGTAATGCAAAAAAAAAAGCATGTTGGATTTTTGATAGTGTAATGGTCGTAATATTGTGCTCTTTAATAATTTCTAAACAACAAAGTAAATTTTTTACTATTTTTCTTGGATTGTTGTCTGTTATCATGTGGTGTAAATAAAAAACATGGAGTGTAGGGTTAAGTTATTTATTTGGGTTGTAATTTAAATTTTATAAACCATGTTACTTAGTGCGTTGTGGGGACGGGGATGTTACAAGTATACGGGAATGATTGAAGCTGAAAGTGATAAAATTACTTTTAAACTTGTAGAAAACCAAATGAGTATATTATAGTGGGCGTTAGAATGATTAAATGTAATCATAATTAACCAATAGTTAAGCCAAAATGAGTGGAACATTGTGGCTAGTAACTTCAACATCATTTTTGCAAATAAATAATTGGAGCCTACTTAAAACATTTCTCTTCCAAACATTCAATTTGTCTATGAACAGTGATCCTACACATTCTACAACAATATAGGGTAGATTTTTTTTGTAGAAATATAGCATAATATATTTTTTAATATTCTGCAGAATAAATTATTGCTTTTATCATCATTTTCTAGAGAATAAAAAAATAATTGTCCTCAGGTCAATATTAAAAATTGAAAAAGCGTTAAATTAGTGATTTATTTTGCCCGATTTCAAGTGCATAGGTGTAATTTTTTTTATTATTAACTTGCTAATATTTTAATGATATATAGAGTGATCAAACGAGTTAGGGAATTTTTCAATTTTAAAAAAATACCTTTTCAGATTGGCCTCGAAGTTAAATATGTACTGAAGAATTAACTCTAAAATAAAAGACAAATGTATAGTTTTACATTTTGTATATTATATTTTTCAAATGAACTTTCAGTTGACTCATGATTATCTAACTGGATGTAAACTTAACCAAAATTAGCGTAAAATGTATATTATATTAAATCTTTCTAAATTCTAAGCCGTCTTAGACCCGGCCGGTGGAAATAACGAACGTTAGACCTAAAAAAAAATGAAACACCCTGACTTTAAAATCCTGAATTATTGGAATTTGTTTACAAGTTTTAATAAATGAGTAATCATTAAAAAAAAAAACATTGTCAACATTGTCAATATTGTCAACTGTTATCGTATTCCTATTCATGCTGTGTACTGACATTTTTAATTGTCCATAGAAAGGTATAATATTTACTGATTTTACCACTTCAAAATTATTAGACCTTTAAAGTTTAAATTAGTTATAACTTTTACTAATTACTATTTCAGAACTTATTTCATACTGTTCAGATTAGTAAAACCAGGAAAAGTTAATCTTTCAATGGACGATTAAAAATGTCAGTACAGTTTAAATCAGAATAATAAGGTAAAAAGGCATCAGGCATGCTTATATTATTTATCATTATCACTATTTAACATTACTTTTTACTATAGGGCATGCAAAATACACACACCTGCGAAAATAACTACAATGCTATAATAATAATATTCATTAACATAATAGAAAATTAATTTTGTCTCTTGGGAAAAAAAACCAAACAACCTTATACATTGTTTCTTTGTCGATAAAACTTCTAAAAAGCTGAATGTCATTGAAGAAATAGTGTAGTCTTATACCTTTCTTAGGTAAGAGTGTTGTTGTGCGAAATTTTTTTTTTTTCAATTTGTATTGTAAACTTACACTTTACTAAACTTGAGAATTGCATGTAAAATATCACTTCACAAGCAATAGTGTGAAAATTTGAATACTCCCAACACCGAGCACTATTAGTCAAATTTAAAACGAGATGGGTACATCCGAGATAAAAAGGGATCCAACTTTATTTTGGTTTTCTCCAAACTGTTCTTGTACATGATCAAAAACATAATGATTCGTTTTACATCCATTATCTTTTTAGCATCTAATAAACCATTTATATTGTTTGGTTTGTAATTTTCATAGCATACAGTTGTTATGGAAATAAATATTTATGAAAAATAAAAATTATGTCTAAAATATAAAAATTGTATATTTTAACTCGCTTAATATTTGACTGATTGTGCTATTGATGTTTTGGTATTTTATACGAAATTTTATAAAGTGTTAGTTTACAGAACAAATAAAAAAAAACTTTAGCTGCGTAACAGCGCTCTTGACAAAAAAGGTTATAAGACTACACTGTTTCTTAAGTGACGTTTAGTTTTTTAGAAGTTTATCAACAAAGTAACAATTACTACTAACAAGGTTGTTTAATTTTTTTTTTCTAAGAAACAAAACTAAGTTTCTAATATGATAATCAATATTATCAAATCATCATTGTTCTTATAAACTGCAGATAACTGGAAAATGAGATAACTAAGAAAAAATATATAATTATTTTATGGTGGTGAGCCCCTCCAATCCTGTTATAGTCTAACTCCAATACGCATTACCGTCTTTATTTTTCTTATTAATATTTTATTTTATGCGTATCTCATATCACATTAGCTCTGTCGTTACAAGTTCTATTTTCATCACTACCTCTGTTTTAGCCACGACTTCATCTTCTACTCCGTTGCTGTTTTAGTTGTACCATTTAACTTTAAGGATCAACCACTTATCATCTTATTACTAGGTATTGACGGGAACTGAAAAAATATTAATGGCTAGAGAAATAAGATTAAGCTAATTAATGTAGATAAAATATTTAAATTTTGTCAAATATACTAATTCTTTTTTTTGTCAAAATGTTTTATGACCGTAATAGGTTATAACTTCCAAATATTTTAATGAACAATAAGTAATAATAATAATGTAGTTGATGATGAATTAGTCACTTTGCCTGGCTTTCAAAATCCATCTTCAACTTCGTCTATTCTTGGAATGAGTCATTATTGATTATTCATACACAAATGTATACATTTGATACTTTCATAAAGATGACCTATTTTTTTCTGCAATGTTATGAGTATATAATCTTTATAGAACTAGATTATATTTAAACAAAAACAATAATTTATGGATATAATATTTTCAGGGTGTCACGCATAATAAATGGTACAAGCCTAAATAACATTATCGTTATACTTATAGCGGTAATATTGTTTTTTGGTAGTTATATATTATAAAATAGCAAACCGGAGAAAAAACGTCATTGGCAAATCGAATACCCGGCCCAGATGGATTCTTTTTAGTGGGAATGTTGCCCGTTTTAATCGGAGGACCTGAAAAACTATAATTGAATATGATTAATATTTTCAGAACGTAATTACATATATTCACGTTTATCTAATATATATTTATATTTTTTTTTTGATATTCTATTTTTTTACTTATTTAAGAGCAACAATAATTTGTTCTTTGTCTTTGTAATACAGTTACGAGAACACTTTATTCAAAGCAGCATGGGTTTTTAATCGATTGTACATATTTTCTAAAACACCTGAGGTTGTAGAAGCAGTTCTTACCAATCCTAACCTGTTCAACAAATCTAAAGAATATAATGTTGTTTAGCGAATCAATTATGGGCAATGGATTATTTTTAAACAAGAAGTTTCATGAATGGAAAAAAAACAGGTAAAATTTTCAGAGTTATTTTATATTCATTTATCATTATAATTATAGCAAAAATAATATAGCGTCAATATGTATAACACATTTTAAAATATAATGTACACTGTTAATACTTGACTTTTAAATTCTAGGATTTCAGTTTCTCGCCAATAATTAATAATGTTTCCTTCAAATTTTTCCTAATATCAAATATAATTTTAATTTGGTATGATAAAATGTATAGAAAAATGGTAGCTGCAGCGTTTAAACTTTCGATGCTTAAATCGTCCGTACCAATATTTTACGAGGAAACAAAATTCTTCGGTAAAATATTGTACAAAAAAAGGGAAATCAATTAATAAGCTCTGCTGTCGGTATGGCGACTTTGGAGATGTTTGGAAGAACTGCTTTCAGTGTAAAGTTGAATGCACAGAAAAGCGAATATCATGAGTTTTTGGAGAATTTACAAGTCGTCCTAAAGGTATACTTACTACTTTGAGTGTTTCTTAACCATATTATTTTTAAACCAGGTGCGGAACACTAAAATTTAAGATCCAGAGCCAGATAAAATTACCTATTGTATAATGCATAAGATTGTTATTTAATAATGTAAAATAATGTCAGTCCAATGGCCACAGCTGTCGCGGACTTTTTTTAATAAAAAAAAATAATAATAATAATACGTATTTAGAAATTATAAAAATTAATAGATTATTTTTTCAATCACAAATAAAACTACTTGCGTTAATACTCGCTTTTTTTCCATTATTTTATTAGTAACTATATTTTGGTTTGAACTACACATCATTAAAAAAAAAAAAACAAAAATATGTATAATCAATTTTTGAATTAAAATTCTTTAGAGATGTAAGTAGTAGCTCAACCATTTTTCATGACAATCAGTAAAACATAGATTTTTCATGAACTTCCTTACCGGTCTTTAATTTTTAAATATAACATTAAGTGCCCATATCCCTGTTTTCGTAAATCAATATTTCAATGCAAGATCGGCGCAATAATTTCTTGGTACATAAATATCACTATAAATCTTGTTATTATGAAAAATATTACACAATAGAACAAAACTACTACAAACTCCATGTTGTTCGATACTTGATTGACTCATAATTAACAAAAAGTTAGTTGGTTTAAATTCATTCAATTATAAATATTTAATAATGTATACTGTTGCACTGATATCTTAAAATTCACTAATATAATTACAGCTAGTGAAGAATATCAGTAAGGTTATAGGATGCCATTTTAACGTTATTACATTAAAATAATCATTGGTGCAGATAATTATGCGAATTTATATGTTTTTTACATTGTATGGAAATAAAAATAAGATACTACACATTGTGCACTTACACATTTATGTGATTAATATGTATAAAACTAATTACCATTTTATATTATTATTTGATACTCAGTAATATCACGACAAAAATTAATTCAGAAAAATGTAGAATTGCATAATTGTATTTTAAAGCCATATTATACTTATACCATTATTTGTTTGTAAAATAAATTACTCATCTGTGAGTTTTTTCCCAATTATAATCTATAACATAGAAATCTCTAAGTAAAAAATGGTTTTCTTAAACAAGTTATACTCATAACGTATAGCGAGCCATTTAGCTATAACATGGACATTTTTTTTGTTTTAAGCCATCTACCCTAAAAATCACCTATCCTTTTGGTTTTCATCACTTTACGCAGCACACTATGATTTTGTAACATAAACTAAAATAATTATATTTTATTTAGTATAAAAGTATAAAATGGTTTTATTAAACAAACTATACTTATAACTGATGGTGAGCCATTCATCTTTAAAAAAACGAGAGAAAAAAAATATATCATAGATACCATTCAAAATATTAAATTTTATCTAAAAAGAACTCAGTAAGAAGAGCATTCTCCGGCTTAATTTCGGCTAATTGACCTGTTTATGAAGTTAATCTAGTCTTTAGATCACCAATTTCATTATTCAGAGCAGTAGCAAACCAACTTTTTTGTTAGTAAGTATTTCATTTTGTTTCGACTGTATAATAAGGCAATGGAATCAGGCATGCACTAAGTCATTATAGGAAAATTACACCTAAGAAGGTACCCAGGAGGATTTGGGTTAACGGCCTAATGTAATAGACTTTAAATATGTGTCTCTCTTCAGTTTTAAAATGTTTAGTGCAGCAAGACTCATCACTCCTTGCAGTTTACAGATGCAACCGAAAACATAGCGAAGATGATTAGTGGTTGATCCTTAAAGTTAAATGGTACAACTAAAACAGCAACGGAGTAGAAGATGAAGTCGTGGCTAAAACAGAGGTAGTGATGAAAATAGAACTTGTAACGACAGAGGCTAATGTGATATGAGATATGCATAAAATAAAATATTAATAAGAAAAAATAGAGACGGTAATGCGTATTGGAGTTAGACTATAACAGGATTGGAGGGGCTCACCACCATAAAATAATTACATATATATTCTTAGTTATACTCATTTTTCCAGTTATCTGCAGTTTATAAGAACAATGATGATTTGATAATATTGATTATCATATTAGAAACTTAGTTTTGTTTCTTAGAAAAAAAAAATTTAAACAACTTTGTTATGATAAACTTTGTTGATAAACTTCTAAAAAAACTAAACGTCACTTAAGAAACAGTGTAGTCTTATAACCTTTTTTTGTCTAGAGCGCTGTTACGCAGCTAAAGTTTTTTTTTATTTGTTCTGTAAACTAACACTTTATAAAATTTCGTATAAAATACCAAAACATCAATAGCACAATCAGTCAAATATTAAGCGAGTTAAAATATACAATTTTATTATATTTAGACATAATTTTTTTTTTCATAAATATTTATTTCCATAAACAACTGTATGCTATGAAAATTACAAACCAAACAATATAAATGATTTATTAGATGTTAAAAAGATAATGGATGTAAAACTAATCATTATGATTTTTGATCATGTGACAAGAACAGTTTGGAGAAAACCAAAATAAAGTTGGATCCCTTTTTGTCTCGGATGCATCCCATCTCGTTTTAAATTTGACTAATAGTGCTCGGTGTTGGGAGTATTCAAATTTTCACACTATTGCTTGTGAAGTGATATTTTACATGCAATCCTCAAGTTTTGTAAAGTGTAAGTTTACAATACAAATTGAAAAAAATAAAATTTCGCACAACAACACTCTTACCTAGAGAAAGGTATAAGACTACACTAGTTCTTCAATGACATTCAGCTTTTTAGAAGTTTTATCGACAAAGAAACAATGTACAAGGTTGTTTGGTTTTTTTTCCCAAGAGACAAAATTAATTTTCTATTATGTTAATGAATATTATTATTAGAGCATTGTTGTTATTTTCGCAGGTGTGTGTATTTTGCATGCCCTATAGTAAAAAGTAATGTTTAATAGTGATAATGATAAATAATATAAGCATGCCTGATGCCTTTTTTACCTTATTATTCTGATTTAAACTGTACTGACATTTTTTATCGTCCATTGAAGAGAATTAACTTTTCCTGATTTTACTAATCTGAACAGTATGAAATAAGTTCTAAAATAGTAATTAGTAAAAGTTATAACTAATTAAAACGTTAAAGGTCTAATAATTTTGAAGGGGTAAAATCAGTAAATATTATACCTTTCTATGGACAATAAAAAATGTCAGTACACAGCATGAATAGGAATACGATAAAGGAATAAAGTTTAAAATTTTTTTTTTTTAAATTGATTACTCATTTATTA